ATTTATTTTATGCATACAAGAACTGGGGTGTAGGCCAGAGGTGCAGAGAGGGTAAAGGAAGGAGAACAGATTCACCAGAGACAGTGGGAGAACAGGCAGATCTGCACAGATACACTGATGAGGGGAGCAGTGCCTGAGACAGGACCGTGTGGGTCAGCTCCCTGGCACCTTTTGGGTCAGCTCCCTGGCACCATGTTGGTCAGCTCCCTGGCAGGGGATTGAATTTATGCTACAGTGGCTGGAGATAGTTTGATAGTGCTGAGACTTTAACCCCTATGCCACCAGGGAGGACGCTACTTTAATATTTTTGATATCCCTTTGTACTTTTCTTCAAAAAGCTCAAAACAAGTAGTTCACAATGAGAAGATAATACCTTGTTCTCCTTTACTTCAAGGCACCTCAATTTATTAAGTTTTTTTTCTAACTTCAGGTAGGAAGCAAAATATATAGATGATCTGAAAGAAGTGGGACTAGCTAGAATAGATATTTACACAAATTGTAGATTTGAATTGTAAAGGCTTTCTATACTTAATGTGCACCAAGAATCCAAGACAGGTTTAGAAGCATTATAGGCTTCCAAACCAGGTAGATGGATTTATGATCTTCCAAACTCTCTTATGTTTATATAACCTGGTAGTTGAAGTCTGAAGTCACTGCTAATGGTTGATGAACTTTCCTTTTTCAGGACCAAAATGTCTTTGACTCCAAAAAGAAGGTGAAATTAACCAATGCAGAAGGAGTAGAGTTTAAACTTTCCAAGAAACAATTGCAAGCTATAGAATTTAACAAAGCTTTACTTGCTATGTACACAAACCAGGTAGGTTACAGGTGTCTGATTCCCTTGCCAGCCCTTTTGGAGTCTGCCATGAATAGTAATAACAACCTAGCCTCTTTTTTTTTTCCATTTTGTATTTTGTATTAACCTGTGTATTCTGCAGAATGTCATAGATTTTACTTAATTCTTTACAGTTGGTTTTTAAAAAGAAGAAAATAGTATTCCCATTTTTAAATGTGATCAATTTGTCATTATCTTGTTTCTAATCTTACACTAATCAAATTAAGAATCATCAAAGATGTAAGACATTTGATAGATAAAACACCCTTTTTGTTTGTTTTTGCATTGCATTTCACTTATAGTAATATCATGCTATAAATCCTGAGGTCATTTTTCTTAATTTTAATATTATGATAATTTCATAACTTCTGAGTAGAGGTTTTCAGGTTTCGTTGAGAAAGTGAAAGTCACGTTTTCATTATTTAGAACTGAAGCAAGATAGTCTCAGATACTTTACACGAAATGACTATTTTGTTGTTTTGAATTAGTGATACTTGATGTATCTTTTTAACAAAATTCTGGAATTTAAGTATCCAGATAAATGTTATAATTTGTCCTTCCTTAAATGTTTTTAGAATTTCTAATTTAAATTCAGTACATACAGGGAAAAGTAGTTCTTTGTTTATTATTATATTCAGTAGATTTCCTTCCTCCTCCACGGACCCTTTTCTCTTTGGTCATTTCATATGTAATTTTACTGACCAATTTGGGGGGGGGGTGCATGGGAAATGCTGTCTTTTAGGCAGAACAGTGCCGCAAAATATCTGCCAGTTTACAATCCCAAAGTCCTGAACACCTCCTGCCAGTGTTAATCCAGGCTGCCCAGCTCTGCCGTGAAAAGCAGCACACCAAAGCAATAGAGTTGCTTCAGGTAAAGGAATTACTTGGTTTTGGTTTTTTTTTAAAGACTTATTTATTTGTGCATACAGAACTGAGGTACAGTCCAGAGGTGCAGGGGTGGTGAGAGGTGTCACCAGAGACACAGTGTGGAGCAGAACAGGCAGGTGGACTGAAATACACTGCTGAGGGAAGCAGTGGGTGGGTCAGGAGAGGTCTGCCAAGCCATGTGGGTCATTTCGCAGGCCAGGGATCAAACTCATGCTGCAGTGGCTGAATAGCTTCATAGTACTGAGCTTTAACCCATTGCGCCACCAAGGAGGTCCCCTCACTTGGATTTTTAGTGAGGAAAACAATGTGGTTACATCCTTGTTGGATTGTTAAAACATACATATTTGTTAATTTCATAGGTAAAAAGAAAGTCACTCTAGTTAATTTTTAGGCCATACCTTTGTTTTATATAAATTTACATTAGCAAGTATTGGCTGCAAATTCTAAGGAATGCTTTTCATTTGGAGATCAATTTAGCATGATAGTAGACTTAAATGCCAGAATGTACTTTACTCCAGTGAGTCCTAATCAAAATCTCAGTACTAACTTGTTTTTATTAACTTAAACCAGCTCTTAGATTACATGTGTGAGTTGCTTGAGGGTAAACTACCATGAAAAGTTGGATAAAATTAGGACCATCCTGAGAGACATAATTGTCTAGTGCAGACTCTTAAGTAATGAAGTATTATTTACTTTAAGTGTCTTTCTCTTAAGAAAAAAAAGAGACTATTTCTTACATAGTACTCTTATAGTACTCCTAATATTTCTGACTTCTTGGGAACATGTCATTATTGTACTTACAAAGCAAATCAGTGTCAAGATTGATTTTGACCTGAAACCAGAAGTTTGATGTTTTAAAGCTAGCTTTAAAATGTTATATAGCTGAGAGACGTAATTAGAAAATGTACAGCTATACTTGTGTAAACTAAATGTGATCTTTTTCTCCCAATTAAAAAATTAGGAGTTTTCAGATCAGCATCCAGAAAATGCAGCTGAAATTAAACTGACCATGGCACAGCTGAAAATTTCCCAAGGTATTAGCGATAATTCCATTGTGATTAAAATTTCATTTTCATGGAAACATGTTTGGAGTGATTGTGAAGTAACAGTGGACTTTGTAATTATAAACTTTGTATAGTGATGATGTATATTTATTACTGTTTGAAACATGAAGCTAGATTTTGTGGGTTTCAGCATTTAGCACAGTTAGCCTTTAGTTATTCCTAAATTGTTAGAATGATTATCAGTTTATACCCTAAAAGAAAATCAAGAGAAACAAAGGCGTCCGCTGTTCCAAAAGACCAGAGTTAAATTTCCTGGTTATGTCATCTGTAGAAATGCTTTTACTTGTCACTTAATAGGATTGCATAAATAAGGGTAGTTTATATTACCCATGTCTTTTGGGAAGAAGAAATGAGGAAATTAATGAGAACTGATATTTTTTAATGTTACAGAAAACTGCTATTGTGTTTGTCTATGATTTTGAACTAATCTTGAGTCACTTTCTAAAACTGTCTTGCCAATATTTGGTAGCTACTATCAACTCTAACTATTTTAAGTTTAAATTAAAGTTCTGTTAGAAAATTCTGGTATAGACTCTGCATTCTCAGTGAGGGTGATAATTGGTTTGGGAGTAGTTGAAAAAAGTCTTAGATATGATAGTTAAAGTTTCATGAACAGAGGGGAGGAATTAGTAAAAGAAAATGTCTGAAAAAGCTTCTGATTGGAGTAGTAATGAGAAACCCCAGTGGTCTCCTTGTTATATTTTCACTTTTGCTTACCTTCCTCCTTTGTTTCTTTTTCCTGTTTCTATCTCCATTTTCTTGTCTTTTCTTAATTTTCTTTCCCTATCTAGTTTTCTTTATTTTTGCAAGGATTATTTATTGTAGTAAATTTACTCAGAAGGAGCTACTCATGGGTTTGTCTTATTTGGAAAATTTGAAATTTGTAATCAATGAGAAGTCAGAATTTTAACACCACAGTGCAGTTTTCCATTGCACTTATATCTGTCTATAGTAACATGTTTTGAAGGCCCTTAGGCAAATAGTTTCACCACCAAGATACAGTATGAAAAAAAGAGAAGTTAAACTCAACAGACTGAAAGTTGGGAGACTGCTTCCCGATGGCATTTCTGCCATTAACATTCTTTGTGAGATTAATATTGCTTTGGCATTCACTTTCTTTATCTGTCAAATGAGTAGAGTATGTTACCCTCAACATCCTGACGTTTAAGTGTTAGCAGTATAAAGTATTTCTCTTAAACTTAATTTATTTGGTTTTTCATAGTATACTTTCTTAAATGTATTGCTGATTTCCCTTTTAATCTCTTAAGGTAATATTTCCAAAGCATGTCTAATATTGAGAAGCATAGAGGAGTTAAAGCATAAACCAGGCATGGTGAGTTTATCACTAAAATATTTTTTAAGACTAAAAAATGTAAGGGACTCATTGGTATGTTTGATGTTTCTTTGTGTCATTGTAATTTCTGCTTATTTCTCTACATATTCATAATGTAGGACTAGTGGTTAAAATAGTAATCATACTTTCTGGTATAAATTTAATTTTATTCAGTATTCTACTTTGTGTTGGTTCCTTATTTGGTCAAATATGCTAGGTACTGTGTAGACCTAATATTACCACTGAGTCAACCTTACATAACCAAAGAATAGTACTAAATTATTTTATAATGTCTTCAGTGTGATTTCTTTGAGTTAAAAACAATTTAATAATAGTGGCCAACACATTTATGTAGTTCTCTGATTATTCAGGCGTCAGAGATTTAAATCACTAACCTAGCTGTGAAAGCATCTGTTTCAAAACTAATTCTGTGGTGGTGCTAAGTGTGCTCGTTGAATGGGGCTGTTTCATTCACTTCTGTTTAGCTAACAACTTACTTACAGTTAGCCTTCAGTAAACATAGTATCCTAATAGTGCTCTTTCTCTTTTGAAGATTCATATGTTAAAGTCTGGGCTGTGATTATATTAGAGTCAGATATATGGCTGAAAATAAAATGTTTCTAATATTTGTTGTCTGACCTATTCCTTTCATCTAGATCTTTGGATTGATTGACATGAAAATGTTCAGAAAATCCCAGTTTATCTAATTAATTTGTGTAGAACTTTTCATTCCTAATACTAGTTTTTTCTCTCTCCCTCTCCCCCTCCTTCCCTCCCTTCCTCCCTCTCTTTTTTTTTTTTTTTTTTTTGTCTAGTCAGTTTTACTGATTTTTCTCAAAGATGCAGCTTTTTCCTTCTGTTTCTTTTCTGTCCTAGTCTCCTATTGTTCTTCCCCCCTCACTCCACTCCTGCCACATGGGCCTCCTTACTGTCCCTCCCCACACTAGGCTAAGTTCGCATTGGCTTTATGTAGCTCAGACAACATGTGACTCATCATGGGGGTTTAATCACAGTTGTGTGTACCTCACTGAGCATGCACTTGGGTGTCCTGGCAGTGTCTCATTAAAAAATTGATTCTGTAAGTGCTTAGACTCAACTTTTATGCTTGCTTTTGTGAACTGGCACAGCATTAGGGAAAAGGTGTATTTTACACTTTTCTATTTAAAAACACTATTGTTCATGGTATTTGTAGTTTTTATGCTTTATAGAACATATCAATGTTTATGACTAATTAGGTACTGGCAAAGAGCCTAGCAATCTTTATTTGCTTTTTTTTTTCAATTTTTTATTTTCAAAAGCTTATTTGGGAGAGAAGGTGGGGTTTTATTCATTAATGTGTACCTTTGACTGGTTAGGTATCTGCATTAGTGACCATGTACAGCCACGAGGAAGATATTGATAGTGCCATTGAGGTCTTCACACAAGCTATCCAGTGGTATCAAAGCCACCAGGTAAATAAATAGAGTAAACTGTTAGTGGGGACATGCTTTTACATAAAAATAGGCTGCAGTAGTTAATTCAAAATTTTGAAGAATTGAAACATTCCAATTCACTATTGAAAAGATGGAAAGCTAGACTGTTGGATTTTATTCTCATGCCAGATCCAAATAAAGTTATCAAAAGTAACAAATGGTTACAAATGAAAAAAAAAAAAAACTTATTCACGGTTTTTAAAGTTCTTTCCTATGTGTGTGCTTGTATATTTGTGAATATAGTCTCAAGAAATAATATAATAGTTTACAGTTGCATATAAGAGAACTCATCTTCAGTGTCTGAAGCTGGGTGGTAGTAATTGTAAAACGGTAGTATTTGAAATAATTACATAGCATGTCTGTAGCTAATAGAAACGTCATCATATTTTCCCAGTATAGGTATCTGTATAAGTCATACCCAGCTTTGTAAACATTTGTAGTGCTTGTGTTATTAGTACAGTTAGGATATCTGTATTCTGAGAAATACTGTTAATACTTGAAAACTGTGGTGAAATCTCTAAGATTTGATTGTGGGGAAATACTTCTAAGTTATGTAGAGATGGGTTGTGTTCCAAGTTCATAAATTGGTATAGTTACTTGTACTAGTTTGCCCACCCCCACCTCCTGGCATATGTGTGTTTGTTTTTGCTGTTTAAATGCATATTGTAAAACTTAAGGTGAAGAATTTAAAGGTCTAATGAATATAACTTCATTGACTTGCTAGATATTTAGCTTAAAACTTCTTTTGCTCTTTTTATTGAACCTGTAGCCCAAATCCCCTGCTCATTTGTCCTTGATAAGAGAAGCTGCGAACTTCAAACTCAAATATGGAAGGAAGAAGGAGGCAATTAGTGACCTAGAACAGCTATGGAAGTAAGCTCTGAAAGGTGGGGATGTAGAAATCCAAATTTCATTTCTCTTATTTGAAATGAAGGAGTTATTTTGCCTATTATGTTACTTTTCCCAGGTTTATAAACTGTTGAGTAACTTTCTTGTTTCTTATAGACAAAATCCAAAAGATATTCATACCCTGGCTCAGCTTATTTCTGCTTATTCACTTGTAGATCCTGAGAAAGCAAAAGCGTATCCTTTTGATTATTCCTGACTGCTATCATGTCATACACTAGGTGTCTTTCAATAGTTTTTTGACTAAGGACTTTTCTGTTGTCACTTTTGACAAACAAAACTCTTGTCTAAATAGTAAAAGCAAAAATGAAAATTTTATTAATGTGACTGGAAAATACAGTGATAGATAAGTCCAAGAAAAAGGATATTTTGTTTGGGTAGTAGAATGTGCCTCTGAAATGTCATTCTCATTGAACTGTCTTAGGTCACATGCCCATCTCAAATAATTACTGACTATAGCAAAATTCACTGCCCCCTTGACTGAGTTTAGGTCATGTGATACTTCAATATGGGTGTGTTCCCAAACTGGGTGGGGTAGTAGAAAAAGAAGTGGGTCAAAACTTTGTGGAAAGCAAAACTATGCTTTATAAACTGCCACAGCATTAAGGTACATTATTAAGAATTAGATGATTAGATTCATCCCTTCTCAAATTCTTTCAGAATATAAAAATTTAACTTTTTGACCTGCCTTATTATTTTATGGGAGATTGAAGAATTTTTTTTGGAAAATGTGTTTTTCTATTGGTATAGTTCTGTTGGCAGACATATATTGTGTTCCTGAACTGTTATTCAATCCCAGTCTTAGTAAACACTTGCCCTCATCAGATAGTATGTCTCTAAAAGTGGATGTGGACGCTCTTGAAAATTCTCCTGGTGCTACATACATTCGGAAGAAAGGTGGTAAAGCTACTGGAGATAGTCAACCAAAGGAACAAGGGTAACATTTTTCATTGTAACATTCACTGGTACTCATTTTAATTACAAAGAGAATAAGAAATGTACTCATAATTTGTTAGTGAAATTTAAGTCCTCTTTATTCTGTGCTCAGCTAGTCCTCATTTCCCTCCTCCCAGCCTACTATTAATAGTGTATTGATTGTGTATCCTTCCAGATTTTTTTTTTCTGTTTATTCACAGAAGTGTTGCAGATATTTCCCCTGTATGGTCTGTTATTTAGTTTTTACAGAAATGGGATTATATTGTACTTAATGTTTCCGACATACTTTCTTTCATTTAATACTTCTGGAAGATTTTACTGTAGTCTTAATACGAATATATTTCATTTTATGCATGGTGTTCTATTGGCTAGGTGTGCCTTACCTTATTTACCTGTAATTTATTGAAATACTTTTAGTAATTTTAAACTAAAGTTCACCTGAGGTTTATTTGCTGACTCGGAGGAAAGGTTTTCCAGGTTCATTAACAAGAAGGCAAATTAGACTCTTTGTACTCCTGCATTGCCCACTCAAGTGCACTGTTAGCAACGGCCTACTAATTAAGATTTTGTTTTTTATTCAAGATAAATGGCAAAACACCCAGCTTTGTAATTTTCATAGTTTAACTTTTTTTTATTTTATATATATACACACCTATATAATATGTATACATATATAATATATATATATTATATAGATATGTAAAATGAAGAATGATGTTATATACAGATATCATTCTTCATTTTGTACTTTTAAGATTTATTCATACAGAACTGGGATACAAGCCAGAGGTGCAGGGACTTCACCAGAGACAGAATGGGGAGCAGATCAGGCAAATCTATGAAGTACACTGCTGAGGAGAGGTCTGCCGCTCCATGTGGTCACTCCAGGCCCCGGGGTCAAACTCACACTGAAGTGGTTGCGGCCAGCTTGCAGTGCTGTGTCCTAACCTGTTGTGCCACGAAGGAGGGCCGTTTTGTACATTTTTAAAATCTCAGTTTTAATCCCCATGGTTTCTCACTTTTGATGCCTTTTGAAGTTAGTTTTTCCCCAACTTAAAATCAGCAACAATATGTGATTGACTTCATTATAAATTCTTTGTTTTCCTTTTGTTGTTATGAACTCTGGCTTTTAAAAAAAGGCATTTTCCACATTATAAGATTCTTTAACTTGTAAGGAGCTGGTGATGTAAAGATACTACATTGTTCCAAATTTGATTTCAACATATTCTCATTTCAAGCCTTATCAAGAACCCAAAATTAAAAAAATTCAAGTCAGGTTTTATCAGATTTTCAAGTAGTAGCGCTTATTTAAGTATTTTGTGGGGGTTTTTTTTTTTTTTTCCTTTTCTAAAACAGGATTGGGTAATTGATAAGAACATCTTTTTTTTCTTAATCTTGTCATCTTCCCCCCCCCAAGTCATTAAGATGTACAATGACTTTTAATCTTTTAAATTCAGCATTAGTATGTCTAATAGTATAATTTAACCTGACATTCAGCAGAGTGTGTGTTATTAATATCACTTATGCTAACTTACGGATGTAAAGGTTTAACTTCAAGTATTGCCATTAGTGACATAAATCATAGTCTTTGTCCTCTTTAAAGTCTAGCAGAAGGAAATATATTTAAACAATAATTTAAATAAAGGTTGTATATGTTATAATTATGCAGGACATATACCAGAGGGAATAGTCAGTCCCTGGGGAGAGGGGGAGCTTAGGAGAGATTTCTGGGAGGGGGAGATTGCATTGAGTCTGAGAAGATGAGGAAGGGGTGAGCAAAAGGCAAACAAAAGCAAGAATTGATAGAGAACTTTTGGGAAATTGTAGGTATAACTGAAGTATGATTTGTAGGGAGACGATTTAGAAGATGATTGCATAGTTGGGTGACAGGTGAAGCTCTAAGAAATTGGATGTTGTATTCCTTGTTCTTAGAAACACTCTAAAAAGAACCTTCCCAATGGAATTCCTTGCTAAGATGATGTTTTGGCAGAAATTGTTGCTGTGTCATCCTTCCAGTTCATTGGTTTTTCATAGTCCCCTATAGAAGCATATCACATAGATGTTTATAGTTTTTTTTTTAATGTCTCTTCTCACTACAGCTATCCAAATACTAATTATTTTCAAGTGTTTCTTTATTTGTGCTTTTTCTTTTGTTTTTGGTCAGCATATTTAGTATTTTGCATATCACATGGATATTTATAGTTGTTTTTTTTTAAAGTCTCTTCTCACTACAGCTATCAAAATAATTATTTTCAAGTGTTTCTTGATTTGTGCTCTTTTTGTTGCCTTTTTTGTTGTTTTTGGCCTGCGTATTTAATATTTTGCTTTTATGTAAATTCATAATTTCAAAAGTTAAAAGATGAAAATTGCTGAGTAAATTTCTGCCCTCCCTCCCAAGGAGACAACAAATATTACTTGCCTTGGATATCTTCCCTGAGATATTCTTTGCTAGAATTTGCCTAAATTTGTTCTTCTGGCAAAGGGTTTAATTATCTGTTCTCTAGTTTTGCCAAATACAAATTAACCACAGTAGTCGAATGTGCAAATTTCTTACCTTTTTTGTGGACGCTCTATGTGCCAGTGTTAATGATAGCTGTTTTCTGAAAATATTTGTCACCCCTCTTTTTTAAGCAACCTTCCAAAAAACTAGTGTTGAAGCTGGATTAAACTTAATGTAATATTCCACTTATTTTATTAGCTTTGATGAGTCAGTGCCAACACTTACAACACCTTTTATAATAAAGTTTCCACCTCACATTAATACTCTGAATATTTAACATGATGGTAATGATTTTCCTTCTCTTTGTAGGCAGGGAGATTTGAAAAAGAAGAAGAAGAAAAAGAAGGGTAAGATTTCTTAAAATCTTTAGATTCCCTTGTGTAAGTTAAACACCTGAGTGTCGTTCTGTATGGGAACCTTTAGCCATAAATATACTTCTCCCTTGCATACTTGAGCATTGACTTTTGTCGACAATAGCTGTCATTGTATTATTTTAAAAAGAGCAACTCTGGAGTTAGATTGCTTGAATTCAGATTGTTGTTGTAGTAATGGTGCTCTTCGTTGTGACTAAACAGGTCACTTAATCTGCCTGAGTTTTCCCATCTATATAACAATATAACATTATACCTCATAGGATTAAATGAGCTACTACATATAAAACTTAAATAACAGTGCCTGGTGCATTAATTCCTTATGGATAGGTTGCTTTTGAGGGGCCAATGATGCTACAAGTACTATGAAATTCCATAAGTCAACTTAAGAAATTTCACTTTTAAAGAACTGTCAGTGTAGAGGAAGGTTAGCAGATCTAGTAGTTTGCATCTTTTTATTCTGTAGCACACAAAATTGAACTCCTTAGTCATTGGGTGTTTGCTGGAAACACAACCACATACATGGCATTACAACTAGGAAGATACAGATGGGCTTGTTTGGAATTAACAAGTTTCCCATTAACCTGATTGGGTCAGCATAGGTCACTGCCTGACCTTGGACCTTTAACCAGGGGAATACCATACATTAATTTACTGTAGGCTTGTGTTCTTAATCTGTGGCAATGCTTGGCTTAAGTGGAAGTGCTTTGTTAACCACCCACTTGTTCCTGGGTGACTTCAGTGAGAAGTCTGTGGTATGAATCAGGTTGCTTTTTGATTTTTCCCACAGCTATAATGAGTCAGGTTTCCCAGATCAAAGTATATCACTATTCCATCTTTCATCCAACTTCCAAATTTTAGTGATATCTTTTGTCCTTTCTTCTGTTGTGTTTACTGCCACGTCAGTAGTTTTGAGATAGTACAGAAACTGTCTGTAGTCAGTATATTGAACTAGTATTTTATTCTTCACTTTTGTATAGTATTTGGAGATTTTTAAAAGTTCAGTAAATACTAGTACAAGAGAACAGCTACTGACTAAAGCAGCAGAAAGCTCAGATTCACTTTGCTTTCTCTTTTTCCTGTGGTTTCCAGATGAGCATTTTCTAAAACTTAAGATTAATATATGCTCATTCTGAAAACACAAGAACCAAAGACTTTCATCATTGTAGAGTGACATAAAGAGTACACAGTGCCCTACTCTAAATTCATGCTCCCAGAGATAATTATTTAGCTTTTCTATATAGAGAAAAATACAGACTATGTATTTATATGCCCAGTCAATAAAAGTTTTTACAAGTCTCATACAAATATATCATTAGGATAATTTATTTAATCTTTAGACTGTCCTGTGCAGACTTCTTTTTAAAAATGCAGACATTTTTTTAAATTATTAAATGTAGGTGTAATTTACTTTTGAATAACCCAGTTGAATACTTTGCTGTATTGTAGGTATAATTTCTTATTGATAGGCATTTAAGTGTTATATATAAGGCTATCAGACATGACTTTGTAGCTTATGGATTGCCACAGAATAAATTTCTAGAAATATAAATTCTAACTGGTACTGCCAAATTAAACTGCTCTCTACTAAGGATATACCAGAACATGTTTTTTGAGTTTCCTGTCACAAATACTGAGTATTACTGCTTTATCAGTAATATTCTGTCAGTTTGATAGAATTTTATTAATTATAAAATCTTCATCTTTTCATGGCTGATTACATATTTCTCCTGGCTTACCCTAACTATAGATATGCCCATTCTTTGTGTGATTTACCTGTTACCAAGAAATTGTTCTATATTAAGGATATTAATCTACTCTATTACATAGTATGCAAATATTTTTTACTTTTCTTAAAAATCTGACTTTTTAAATTTTAAATGATTTATATAGATATATCTGTGAAATCTTTTTTTAATGGCATCTGAGTTTTATGTATACCTAGAAATAGAGCCTTTTCCATTGTTAGATTGTACAGATGAAAATCTTAGATAAATTTTAGTTTGTTTTTTTTTGAAAGTTTTTTTTTTATTTATTTGCACATACAGAACTGGGGTACAGGCCAGAGGCTCAGGGGCGGTGAGAGGCTTCACCAGAGACAGAGTGGGGAGCAGAACAGGCA